TGATCGTGAAGGGGCTGCTCGGTCCATCGACTACGTGAGTAATAACGTCGCGCATTGAGTTGACTGGCGTCCGAGAAGAATTTATCGAGTGTACAAAGTATGTTGTCACCAAAAGTAAATGGATGCTTAGTTAATTCGAACTAATGAAGGCATTGCGCTGCATTAGTAGCGCGAAATCCATTATAGGGGCACCGATGCGAACCGAAGATCATTACCAAGAGTTTATAATTAAATCTTTATATTAACCTTACTCAAGTAAATAACAAAAAATATTGAGGGAATAATATATAATAATAAAATGTTAATCAAATATGTGTTCAATTCTTTTTCAAAAATACGTGTATACAATTTTGTATATGAAATAAACAAGGTGTCTAGCGATCAGGAAAATCTGGAAAACCGGGCGTTGTCAGGGAATTTTATAAATCTGGAATTGTCAGGGAAAAGTTAGGAAATTTTATTATTTATCTTATTTTTTCACATTATTCTACATTTGTCTCAATAATGGAATTTTTTTATTAAATAAATATAAACTTTTCCTTGACTGCCAGCACGCTAATTTTCTGTGTTGTTAAAAATCGATTCATCTACAGCGTGTTCGTTAATTTATATTTTCATCGTCGTGTCATTTTATTTCAATGTGTTCGATAGAGACAAAACTAAAAAATTTGGTATAATATAAATGAAAAAGATGATTATTTAAAAAGGTGATTATCGTACATAATGCAGATTGTATAATTGATTTAAATTTTTGTTTTAACTTCCGAACCTTTTCATTGTTGACAAAATTATTTCAAGGATTTCACGATTTAACATTTAATTGATTTATCATACAGATGTATGCAAATTATATATCTGGAAAAATAATATTAAAAAGTCAGCAGGGAAAAAATTAATTTCTGCGGTCTCGGAAAATCTGAAAAAGTCAGGTACCTAATTTTTTTCATCGAGTTTGCTGGACATGCCTGAATAAAATTATCTAATATATGTACGTATGTATAAAACTCGATTTCTAGTAAGGGTATTTCTAGTATAAATTTTCGTCTCATCGAAGGGTCATTCTTGATTTTTTGTGCCAGGCCTATATCCCATGAAACACACTCGCGAGATATTATTGGTGAAGCCGGTAGATCGCGGTCGTCTTTTCCTCCCTGTTAGGGTGATTTGCTCTCTGTGTGGGTACATTGTGAGTAATAACAATATATACATCGGCCGGCGTAAACCGCCGGAATCTCGTCGCGTCAGCGACGTTTTCATTACCGAGTTCGCTTACGTGACGCTTACCCAGGCGAGTTTCGTGTCCATAAAGCCCAACCCGATGAGGAAAACGGGAAGAGACAGGAGAGTCGGTATAAATACGAGGGAGAAAAGGAGAAACGCGGAAAAGAGCGGGCTCGGCGATGGCTCGGAAAAAAAGCAGCGAAGTGAGAAGGAAAATACAGGAAGGAGAGCGGTAGAAATAACAGTGTATGTCGTCGATGTGTAAACAGAAACAAGGTGCACGTTATATCCGACGTTCTCGTTATGAGAATAGGAATGAGGGGAAGAACGTGCGGATGGATAGATGCCCATCATTTTTCGGAGAAGTTCGTGTTTTATGCATAGGATGTTATATGGAAGCGAGATCAGAGTGTTATGACAGAATCTTTTTTTATACGGAATCTCTTATATGGATTATGGAATAATATTAATTCAAATTATTAAATATGCATATAACTCGTGTATTTATTAATTAATACTATAAGTTATAAAAAGAGGAGCATACTTTTTTTTATAGAAGACTAATTATAGACGAAAATATAGCAGATTCAAAGACATTTTTTTCTTCATATCTAATAAAGAATGTGAATATATATATATAAATATAATTTGTGAATTTAATTTGATTTTAAACAAAGAGATTTCTAGTCAAGAATTTAAATTGTTTTTAGACTTTTCTAATACCTTAACTCTCGCAAAAGACATTGTTATCGACGCGAGTCTCGAAAATGAACACCATGATTATTGTCATCGCTATCCTCTGCCATCGGAGTACGAGAGGGAAATAAGGGAACCAGTACGGGGGTGGAACCTGGTTCAGGTTAGTCCAGGCTGGTTTATCTCTAGTTGTACCCCGGTACATACGGTGTGGAGGCATAAATAGACGACGGTTCCCGTGGCGGTCGTTCGGCGATGCCTCGTGAGGGCTATGAGCCGATCAACGTTTTGCCCCAGAATATAAAATATACCGGGTAGCCGACGTAACTCTTACGTACAGAGCGCGTTGACTGGTGTCGGACCTCTCTCTCTCTCTCTCTCCCTACGGCAGGAGGATTCGAATCCGCCACCGCATGTACCGGACGATAGAAAAGGCAGGCTGGCAGACACGAATGCCTCCCTCTCGCAGTTAAAATATTGCCGGAGTTATTCGCGCGAGTGTGGAGAACGTAGCAGAGGGGCGAAGGCAGGGTTGATATTGAATATGATGATATCCCGACGCCGCAGCGCGGACTACCACCCTCTTATTCGCCCTTCACGATACATACGACACACACACTCTCTCTATCTATCTCTCGTGACCGCTGTGTAACAGTGAACATCCGAAACACACACGTGCGCGCCCCAACATGGTGTGTCCACGCCCGCGTTGTACAGGCCGGCGTTTTGCCGTCCTCCTTACGTCGCGGTACGGCACATGTGCCATCTCGCGCGAGAAAAAGGGAGGCTTAGGGAAAATTGACGTATATGCGCGCGCTGTCCTTTTCCGCCGTCATTCGTCTCCGTCGCTGGAAGGGAACCGAGACGGGACGTCACGTGTTCGACTTCACTTTGTGATTTTTTTTTTTCTCTCCGCGGTGGTGCCCTTAATCGTCTTCTCGTAAGGGCGGGGGTGTATACACGGCGAGCGATCGGCCGTAGCATCGTCGGGGATGTTCTCCGGTATGTATGTCGGAGTAGGGGTTGGATTCCGCTGGCTAATTGAGCGTGAACCGTCCACGTGCCCGAGGGAGCGCGAAGGGTGCGTGTCGGCACTTGATAACGATCGGGATCGACCTGCTACGGATCGGCGTCGCCGATGTCTACACGTTAATGATAATTCAAATGCGTTAGGTGGCTGATGAGAATTTTTTTAATTTTTGTATTTAGAGATTCGCATAAGACGATCACGCAGAACAGGAATGGGAATCTTGATTATTCGGCATATTAATATTTTTTTTGCAATTTTTGATTGAGAAAAACACAATCATTTTATATTAATGTGTTGTGTATTATTATTTTATTTTGTTCAAAATCAAGTTAATATGTATCTTATATATGTTATATGATTTTAATTATGAATAAGATCAATTTAAAATCGAAACGAGAGTATGGATCAGTTAAGCAATTATTAAAAATTTTGTATCGAGCTTCATCTATCTCATTTATTTATTATTTTTTATATATTTATTTCATTAAATATGCATATATATTTCGTTATATCAATGAGACTCACTATCTAATTCAAATCGATTTTAAATTTCAATATTTAATTAATTAATTAATTAATTTTTATTATTTTTCCAACCAAACTGACCGTCAATTTGATTACAAGTTGTACAACGTGTTGACCATCGGTTCTGGTTCTTATCAATTTAAGTGCTATGATTTCTATGTATAAGATGAGATGGTAACGATATATAGTTATTTATAGTCACTACTTATGATTTCTATATACAAGATAAGATGTTAACGATGTTTACAAGATAAGATGTTAACGATTTACTGACTGAAATAACAACCGTTAACATCTTATGTTAGAAGATATAGAAATTATATATAGCACTTGATAAGGACTGAAACCGATTATCGAAACGTTGTGCAACTTGAAATCAAATTGATGGTCAGTTTGGTCGGAAAAATAATAAAAAAATGTATTGATTTTACACTGAGGACTCACTTCCACTTTATAAATTTATATAAAATATTTCCACAATTTCAACATAATTTTTCTATGATATTTACGAGCATGTTTTATATTTATAATAAAGAGACCTGTATATAATATCAATTAAAATTTCTATTCGCTCGTGTATTGTATAAAACAACAAATGTATTCAAAAAAGGCCAACTTATCGAGCAATATTTAAGATGTTGTATCCAATTAAATATTATTTAAAATAAATTTTAATTGGATACAACATCTTAAATATTGCTCGATAAGTTGGCCTTTTTGAATACATTTGTTGCTGTATATAATAGTTATATAAAACATTGAAAGGGGATATAACTGATAAATCTGATTTTTTTCGAATCAATATAGATAAAAGGCATTGATAGAATTGCACTTTGTGAAACGGTCAAGTTCTTAGTTCATATGTCACATACGTGTCGCATTTAGATCGAGAGTCCCCCATTCTTTGTGAGCGCTGCTCGCCCCACGACTTCCTTTCCCGCGCTCTCTTCGACGGTTCTACGCATTTTTTAAATTCCTCCCGTAGGCGATCTAAGCCGGGGAATCTCTTCAAACGACTTTCCGGACACGCCGTTTCAAACGGAGACACGTTTGGCAGCACGTGTTTCTTCGCTTCGGCCCTGTGATTTTCCTGCCGCGAAAGCAAACACGCACAGCTGTCAACCTCGCCGCAACGATACTCGGAGAAAGGTAACGAAACATCCGCAGGCGATCGAGATGTAGGATAATATGCGTATTTAGAAGTAATAACAACATATCTCTTTGCCCCGAAATAATACTCGAATAATAGGATAAGGATGACGAAAAGAGAATTAAAGAAACAGTTAAAGACGAAGTAGCGTGGAAAATGGAGCAAACGGAGATTGATAATTTTGACAATTTGACATTTTATTTGAAATAACAAACATATCACACCGACTAACTAACATTGATCATTATTTTCACGTTAATTGCATTTAATATTCAATTTTCTCAGAGTAGGATTTATATATTCAGTCTCGTAAATATACATATATGAATAATGAAAATTCTATGTAATATTAATATGTAAGAGGTACACTGAACTTACATGTGTGTAATCTTGCTCGCCATGCAAGAGGGTCGCTGACTAGTCCCTGAAGACCCGGCCAATAGACAGCGGGGTGCCGTGGTTCCGTTCTTTGTTGAAATTGCCCAATACCTAGGGAAATATACAAATAAATACTTGGATATATGTATATGCGCATGAGAGTTTGGCTTAAGATTGCGATTATTCCAAAATCCGATTGCACAAACTAGCAAACTTGCATTTTTACATTATGGATATTAAAAATTTATATATATATATATATATATATATATAACAGTATCTTTTTTAATAATATATAAGTTGCAAACAAATACTACATTGCATGTTAACAATACATTAAATTTGAATTAATAATAGCTAACATATTAAATTCTAATCTTCAAAGAAAAAATATAGAGATACAATTTTTAAATTTGACTTTTTAGGAGTGCAATAACGCAGATAATTGGGATATATTAATAACGAGATTGATGTATAACTGATATTGCGGGATTAGAAAAGAGTACAGCAGACATATGCTTTGGTTCGGTCGTCAATACAGATAATGATATTGGATTTATGATAATTTAGATAGCGACACATATATTGAAGCAATAACCTAAAAGAAGCAACGCCGTAAAATGCAACGGCGAGATGTTGTAGAATGTGAGCATGCGTTTACTGACGGAATAAAACAGCTTTCTCGGATCGATCGCCGGCGAAGCCCGTATACCCATTTTTCCGCGTAAAGCGCTTTATTAAGCTTTAGTTTTTCTCTACATCTATGCGATTTATTTCATATCATTTTTATCACTCGCAATTTTCATACAACTCGCATCCGCCCGAATGTGCAAACGGAATTTAAATGCCGCAATTTTATAAGCCACGCCATCTCGCAACAGATTTCACTCTTTTTCGAAATAATTATATGCTAAATTGGAAAAATTACAAATGACCTCGTTATAATATTATAAATAGTTATAATTTTACTTCTGGTTCTTATTAATTATAAGAGCCGCACAGAAAGAAGATTTTGATCTTTATTTATAGTTTAATTATAAAAATAATCTGATCATTTATATTGTATTATTTAAATAATATAATTCGTGATAAAAGTGCTGAGGGGCTTACACGCATAAATAAAATCTAGATGAAGAAATTATTGGAATATCAGACGAAAGAGAAATTTAGCTCGCGCTATTTTAGGTCGATCAAGATTGGTATCTATATCGAATCTAATGTTTTAGTCCAGATTATCGGCGACTACACACTCGTACACACCCATACACGATGCCAAATCCATTCGCAGCCTCGAGAGAGGTTTCTCCCCGGCAGTTCTCGCTATACGGAGACCTTAATGATCCGACCTCTCGAGCGCGAGAAATTAGTCGACTTAAGCCGGGGCTCTATGTGAGGCGGCTAGGAAATCAAATCGGTAAATATCGGTCGTCGAGATCCGGACAAACTTTTTGTGGATTAAGGGAGATTAGATTGATGATCGGTGGCGCGTTCAATCCTCTGATCGATCGAAATACGTGAAACGAAAAGACACGTCGGAATTATTATTATTCGCGTTTCCAAGATTTATTATTCACTTATCATCTTTCATAAAAAAAATAATAAATGTGTATGGAGAATTTTTCACATTATATGCTTTTAAAAGGCAATTATTTTTTTCTCAAGAAATTATTTAAATTAATTAATTCACAACTATATACTAAAAGACAATTGAAATTGCTGAAATTGTGAGTTATTGGACAATGAATTGCTCCTTCACGAATTTCTTAGTAAATTTTTTATTTAGGACAATATTACTCCCATAATTTTGAGTACCTATTAAAAACCTAACGAGATACCTTTATATTGCAATTTCGAAGGATTATCTGTACCCACTTCCGTTTAATTGATCATCACCAAATAACAGCCGATGTATTCTCAACGTCTTTCTCGCAACGTTCCTTTCCCCTAAGACATCCACGATACGACGTCGTTTATCATAGAAAATAATCATTCAGCGATCAACGACATTTAGAAATTGGTTATAATCGCAAAGGCTGATTTGACTCCCGGTTATGTGGGCGCTTAATTCGTTTCGGGTGCGTGTTTCTCTCGCCTATCTATGCTTACTTGTCCGGACAATAAAGCGTCATTTCCATTTTATCCCATCGACGAGGATGAAAAGAACGGAATAAATACACCTCCGATACGATCGCCGCTTCTTTTGCCCTTTACGCCGAAATCAGACGGAATTTATAGGATCATAAACAACTAAACTCGCGCACGCTCATCAACCAAAATACCCGCGATCGTGCTCTTTGTTCGCGGTTCCACGTGGCGAGGGAAAGTAGAGGAAAGGTAAGTTTCTCTCTCGATTCTTAAACGGACCCCCGGCACGCGCTTTTACAACGCGTCGCTCGAGAACGCCGTGTGAATCGGGCGATTAAAAGCGTTTAAAAATGTGTATACATGATGTCAGAACCCTCAATCTTTTAATCTTAATTGCGGACATTTTGATGAAGCGAGCAATCAATTTTCTCGAGATTTATTTCAGATAAACCGACCATTATTTCTCGTAGCTTTTGGAGCTTCAGGGAATTAAATATCCTAATTAAACTATAAATTACAATTTCCAAAAAGGGAAGATCTGCTTGAGAAAGCAAATTCAAAGAAAGCCTCTTTTGTATCTGTTTACAACTCGGAAATTTAATTTATAGGGATCTTTATACATTTGCTCAGAAAATCCATCAGTATCCATCACTTCTGTCAAAAAGAAAAAATCAACTCTAAATTGCAAGCTGCATGTATGTATACAATATATGATACGTCGCGTAATTCGTTGGATTATTACTAATCGGGAAAACACGGCGCGCGAATGTGATGTGTCGTAAGTCATAAATATTTGACGAACTATCGCGATGAATAAGGCACGTGACGTTCACGGTCGATGGACGAAAATATTTATCATTTAATACCGCACATTTTGATGGGCTTTTTGTCATTTATACAGCAACGACTGGCAGTCTCGCGCGCGTCCAGCGAGAATTTAATTAATGACCACCGGTGTAAAGTGTGTGCGCACGCGGGAGATCGATCGGTATCAGATGTCAATTAGCGGCGCGCGTTGCGAATCGCATAATCGCGATGACGACAGTGTGATAACGTGAAAAAAGAAGAGAGAGATATCCTCGCGCGAGTTTCGCGATACGAGATTGATTACAATCTACCTATATTATTTTTCTACTAGATTTCTGCACACGAATAATATCTTTCTTTTTGACGAATAGTTTTATTAAATTATTTTATTTATATATATATATATGTATAAATTACCATATACATAAGAAAGGAAAAAAGCATAACCAGAAGCACGATATAAAAATTTTTAGGCCGAATTAACATACAAAGAAATAATGATGGAATATATTTATAATATAATTTTGATAAAATAATAATATTTTTTGGATGAAAAAACTGATTCTTTAAGCACTTTATTCTAATTAATGGAAGAAGGACGCAAGTGACGTCGCTGCGCTTGCATTTCATATCGATGTAAATAAAACGCAACGAGATGTTTTAACGAGGGAAATTTATACGGGAATATACATACACTATATTTAGTCATGAAATACACGCATATGTATGTATTTGGTGGCCATCTATAATTCTAACAGAGCGAAATTCGCGCGCACCACATCGCCGCGTCGTAAATACGAGCTGCACTACTGCCGTATTTGTAATCGACGTAATCTGTCTAATACGACAATGAAGTCGGTTACCCATTAAACCGTTATTGAAACCGTATACGATTACGCGAATTACGGCGGTAGTTTCGACGTTCACCATTTGCGAGAGAGATACACATATGTATATACACATACGTATACCAAAACGCCCACGTATATGCAACGCGTCAATTGGAAACACACAGGGAAATATCGCGCAAATGCATTTGACACGATTACATACAGTAACGATATATGACTATTTTATTTCGCCATGCTAAAATTCTGTTCCGATTCAAATATATATATATATATATATTTATATCACTTCAAAATATTTAATACATTCGTTTCGACATACTCTTGTATAAAATATTCTGAAAGATGTTAGTATTTATATATTATATATATGTAGAACCGTGTAGAAAAGAGCTGCGTAAAATGCAATTCGATTATTAAATCGGAGCAGTGTCAATTTTTCAACGTATAATCTTTTCTGCAATTTCCATATTTCAAGATTTTGAGCTCATTTGATCGAACGCGGTTTTTTATACAAATAAATGTGTTCGAGAAACTTTTCTCTTCCCCATCGATTCTCTTGCTCCAAATTTATTCGCCAAATAAGTACATTTATTGCGAGCGACGGGACTTTAAGAGGTGCTTTGCTAATTGCGTTAAGACGTAATTAGCAAAGACAATTCAATCAAGTGCATAAATTTTTAGACTTCCATAAATTTTCTTGTCCTATATATATTATTTTATAAAAAAAATGCAAGAAAGACGCTAAAATTTCGCGAGATTTGTGCTTAAAAAGGGGGATGAAAACGCTGAAATTTACGATATAGAAACCAGAGCAGATGTCGTACAATATTTCCGAGGTTTCTATTACAGGCGATAAAAAATGGAAGACACACGTGAGAAGGCACATGAGGGGCGCGTTGAGTAGTTTTTTTTAGGATGATGTGAATATCTGCTTTCAGGATAAACATACCGCCTCATAATATTCGATTCGAATGTGTGAACATTGCTTTATTAAAACATGCATTTGTACAGAACGATCTGACTTTAACATAAAATATTTGATTCTAATTTATGAGAGATTAAATCTATTATTTATTTTTAAAAGAAAGTCGGATAAATTCCCCCTATAACTTGCAGAGTAGCAATTTTAAAAGTGGATCGCGAAGGAACGACGGTAATAACTCCACGCGGTTTCATCGACGTCGCAAAAATCCGCGAGATGTAATTCGTCACGAAGAACGGTACAAGAACGTAACCGCGATATTTTTGCGGCGACGTTTTCAAAATTGAATTGCTTTGCGCACACGTTGCGTCGCATCCCGATACGTGTTTTTTTATTTTTATCGTTTTTTTTTTTACTTTTTGCAAAAATGAAGAAATAAATGATATTTACGACGAGCTGTTTTAGTGCGGTCGCAGCCGCTATAGCGTCGATTTACTATTATCTTTATTTTTTTTCGGACATCTTTTCGTGCGCGACATTAAAATACGAACACGCATCATTTATCGTTATTTTTTATCATCGTCGAATTGCTCCACTCGACGTTCACTGCCGTAGTTTATCGTAATGCAATCTTTTTGTACAACGTCCAACCGCAAGTGGACCAGGTCTCTCATGCGTTCTCTCGCACAAATCCGAATTCGCCAGCAAGCCACGTACGAGCATAGTCGTCAGTTGGTTAACCCGCAATATCCTAACTTGTGCTCGTATATGGTCGCCCTATTTGGCCATCACATATTTGCGTTCTATTGTAAATACAATCATCTGTGGTATACTATTACACGTATATCATTGACTTATCTATTTGTTTTTTATTTTTCTTCTCTTTGCGTACGATTTGATTTAAAATATATAATAATTCTTGCTTTTAAAAAAAGGATAAAGAAAATTGAACGATAACAATGGAAAATAATGCTCTACAAATAGTTTGTTGGTATATTCAAAATTTATACAATTATTTTATTCGATAAACGTGAAAAAAAATTGTCAAAAAATATAAAGATCAACTAGCCAAGAGATTTCGGAATGTTATAAACTTTGATAAATAAATAACAATGTGTTCTTTCTAAATTCCATGACACTTAATCAAATTATTAGTATAATTAGGAAGTTAATATTTTTATATGCAATATAACAATAATATGTGAAATAAAATTTATTACAAATTATTGCTCTCAAGTTGCTTCAAATTTTTCAAGTATCGGAACTTGTCACGTTATCTTCGATAGTCACTATATTACACCAGATATCATATTATCGCATGATAATATTGAATTCGCGATGCCACGATTAACACATTTCGACATGCGAAACTAATAAATCGCGAATATATTAGCGCACGCTGCTTAGCGATTCGTTATTGCGAAGCATAACCGCGCTCTGTCGGGAGCGAATCATTTAGAAATTTAATGTCATGAATGTTAAGTAACGCCCCTCGTTTGCGTCGCTCGTTAATGTACCGGGGGGAGCAGGTAATTCGGTAAGCATAAATTTTAGAGCCGCCATTCCACCGCGCTTTCGGTCAATATTTCAATCATGCCGTCTTCTTATTCGCATTTTTACTAGTCTTTAATTGCTGTTTTCGTTTCAAAGAGGCCTCGCTATTTAATAAAATTTAATATTAAACAAAATGATATAAATATACCAACAATTCTGTGATAATTACTTCAGAATGCGAAAATTGCTGCTGCTGCTACTCGTTTTGTCACAATTATATTAGATAAAATTTTATAGATAGAAGATATTTTTATATATTTGAATATTTGAAAAATTATTTAAATTATATTATATCTATATTATCATATTCCAAGAGTTTTTTGGTATTTATTGCATTAATTGTTACATTCTAATGTCGATATATTTTTTGATTGGCAATATTCGGGTTCGTTTAAAGGAGTGATAAAGTTATTTTATCGGATCATAGATTATAGACCATGATACCAACGTTTATGAATTAAACCCACGTCTGCCGATATTACCGCGATATTGTACGACACGTTATTTGTGAGCAACTTCATAATACGACCCTATCTTCCCTTCATTGTAACATCGACCCTCTGATAATTCTAAAATTGATGTATGAATACGCACATACTTCCGATAGCCGAGAGCTACAAAATAACATGTAAAAAAATTTGTTTAATCAAAAGATTTGAATTACGCGATTTCCAAAATATTCATAATTTTTTATTCTACGACAGAGATATTTATCTAAATTTTCATCGCGAAAGATAATTATATTAACTTGTTAAACTGACGTTGATTCTAAATAATCGTGTTTTACAATGTTTAATCAATTCCGATTGATATAAAAACTCGAATTATGTTCATTATATATTTTTGTCGATCCAAGCGCTTATTATTAATGACAAATCATTTACTGTCGGGAATCGGTAATGCACTCTGCATCATACTTTTATGTATTTAGTTTGCTGCATATGTGTAGAGACGCGAAGACACTCTTGAACGTGACATCTTTTCACAAGATTTCAAGGGGATGACAAATGTCTTTTGCTTTTGTGGTACGTCATCCAATGGAAAAGTTATTATGCATCATTTGCAACATCACAAACGAAGCCTTGATGACACAGATTACCAACAATAAAATATGAGGAAATGACATTCTAAAAGTATGAATCGAAAGCGTACATTTATGCATCAAATGCAATACATATTTCGCAAAACATGAGATCCTTCATTATATAAACTTAATGATGCATCTTTATCTCTTTTATGACAAATTTTAAGAAATCGTATCTTTGAAATTGATGTAATGTTTGGATCGTTTTAGCATGGCAGTAGTTTTAGTATAACAAGATTTTCATTAATCTTTGTGACTTTTACTTTTACAAATCAGTTACTATTATATATTTTTACAAAATTCGTATAAATACGTAAAATTCGTATTTTGAATCTCTCGCTTTATTAATGAATCCGGAGAATTGCGACTGAATGATATATCTCGTGTTCGTTAGACTGAAACGGGCTAAAACAGGCGATAGTGATTCGCGCGAATCGAAGCGGAAAATCAGACTTCGACTATGTAAATCCGTGAATTATACGCCGACCGCGATCGTATCGAATGCAGAGATAGTTTCGTAATAGATTCGTAACTCCTAGTCGCGCGCTTTCGTCTGGCCCGCGGTTGTTCGATCGGCCATCCCTTGGTAATTCTACGATTAATGCGTTCAATCCGTCCCGCATTAATACACGCGCGCTATCGCCAGCACGCGACGATTTGCGTGGAGAACACAATCGGTTTCCCACCGATTTTCTATTGCGTAAACGCGCGAATGGCGAATTCGTTACCGTTACAGATGTTACTAATATCTACGAGCATCAATAACGCTTGACATTAATCTTCCGATGCTATATCTTCCGTTTGCGAATGTTATTTTAAACAATATTTCTATCCAAGAATTGTGTGTTCGTTAGTTATTTTTACACGCTCTCCCCGTTTGTCAAAATCAAGCTGTCGTGAGAAAATTTAAATTGTTTGAATTAAGTTTTTGTCTTTTAGAAAAATATGATATCGCGCAAGGTTTATCGCGACAAAAATTTTATCCAAGAATTGTGTGTTCGTGAGTTATTTTTATACGCTTCCCGTTTGTCAAAATCAAGCTGTCGCGAGAAAATTTAAATTGTTTGAATTAAGTTTTTGTCTTTTAGAGAAAAATATGATACCGCGCAAGGTTTATCGCGACAAAAGCGCTATAAATCATTAATGTGTTTGTTATCAAAATCGCTCGCATAAGATTCCCAATATATGTTCTATAGTACTTTGAATAAATAGTAATATTATTAATTATTAGATACTATTACAATAAATGCTACACAATTTTTATGAGATTCTCGAATAACATTGAGTTTTATATCAAACAATGTTATTTCGATAATTCCGTAAAAAAGCTTGACGTAAAGACTTATTCTCCCCGAAATCTAATTATAAAACAACCAGAAAAACCTACAATATTAAATACGAATAATCTTAAATATATACCTATATTTCTTTTTCTCTCACATTGTTCCTCACCGACGAGTTAAATTTTCAATATTATTTATATAGTTCCCAGAAGAGCGATATTTCTCAGAAACATCATACAGAATCCCGAACAATTTGTCGACAGCGCATTTAAATACATATCGAAACATTACTCAAATATAATCGAGTATTTATCTTATCCGACTCAAGTCGGTTAACCGCGGACCGCGCGTTATCCAAAGTTTACCGAACTCTCGGGGAAGACGACGGGGTAAAATAAATAGATATACGCACCCGAGGACGCCGTGAAGCCGGCGTGCATGGCGTACCGCGGCGCGGCCATGTGCTGGGGATGTGGTGCCGGCGGCAGGGTCACGTGCGACGCCGGGACCGATGCCTGGGGGTGGACCGTCGCCGTCGGTCTCGAGAGTATCGTGTCGATGCCGTGAGGATTACTGCCGACGGAGGTGATGGAGGTCGCCGGGCTGTGTTTGCCGCTACCGGTGGGCGACGATTGACCCTGGGTGATGGTGGAGAGCGGCGGTACCGTGATACGCGACAGCTGGATGCCTCCTTGCTGTTGCTGATGCGACGTGTGATGTTGCTGCTGATGCGATTGCTGTTGCTGCTGCTGCTGGTGCTGCTGATGCTGTTGCTGCTGTTGCTGCTGCTGTTGCTGCTGCTGCTGCTGCTGATGACTCCTCTCCGCCATCGAGTGCAGCGCTGCCAAGGGTTGGCTACCGAGCATGCCGCCGCCGGCGGCGCTCAGATTGAGGAACTGCAGAACGTGGGGCGCGGCCGCGGGAAAGTCGTGGAGCCAGGGCGGCCTTGGCGGTGGCGGCGAGTGGCTCGAGGCGGGCGGCGGCGAGCACGAGCCGAGCGAGGAGCCCGCGGACGAGCTGCGATCACCCTGGTCCAGGTGATGATTGTTGTTGCGTCGGTGCGCGTCACTAAGCGACGACGACATGTTCTCGGTGATCTCGAGTCCGCCACCCTCCGGCGTGGAGCGCGATGGCGGGTCCGGGCAAGCGTCTCCGCTGTCGGCGCAGGCCTTGCCGCTGGTCAGAGAACATACCATCTCGCACCACGCATAGTTCGGGAGTGAGCGAAAAATCTTAACTGGTGCTTAAGAGCCGGATGAGGCGTGCGGCCGTCTTTCCGAGCCGCGAAGAGGGATACCCTTAAAGGGGTATATGTATATATGTATCCCCTTAGTGATGCTGCACCGAAGACTCTCTCGACGATTTGACTCACTTTTGATTCGAACAACGGATGACACGTATACCGATGGCACTTACCGCGATCGCGATTGTCACTTGGTTCCTTGAAGGAAAAGCTCCTTTTCTCCCCTTCGGGTCAATCACTGATCCCCATGATCCTCCGCGAGCGCACGGCGCGTCGTCTGCGCGCGACAGGCTATGGCCGATGCACGACGTTGTCCGCGAGTTGTCGCGATCGATGAGCGAAAAAGTAGTCACACCGCGAGCACACTGTATGGGAGAGCGGTCACCGATTTGCCGGTTCCGCGCGCGATGACATGGAGAACGGATGACGGGTTATTTGGACTGGGGACAATTAGTCGCGAACTGGATTGATCGTTCTCGGACGATCGAGCAGGCTCGCGATCCGGAAATCGTCGTCCGTGAGCCTCGCCGAGTGACTCGCCACGTCGACCAAATGGTGTGCGACCAGGGTGCATCGAGCGCGCGCACTCTTCTCTCTCCGGCGGGAGATCGGAGTCTCTCTCCCGTGCGCTGTGCCTTCGTCCTTGCCCTCGTCCTCTCGCGCGCGCGTTCCGGAAATCCCGTCAGGGGGAGAGGCTGGTCGGCCCTCGATGCGAGTGGATTGGCGTGCTATCCATGGGTCGTTTAAGTGTTTGGAGGCGGTACCGACATCGGATTGGTCGACCCGCTGGCGTTTTACCGGAAGGAGAGGTGTTTCGGGCGGGGCCTCTCAATCTCGCGTTAGCTTCTTGTTAAGCGTCTTTCATTGTGTGTTTAAATTCGTAATTTATGATCCTGACTGAATAAAACAAGAACTTGCTGGTTCGCTCGCTCGCTCGCTCGCACACTCGCTCGTATGTTCGCTGCTCGCCTGGTTGAATGGCTGGATGGCTGGCTGGCTGGCTGGTTGGCTGACTGAGCCTCTTGGCTCTGAGACTGGCTCTCTAGTTTGCTCGACGACTGGGCACCTCTGGCACGACTACGGTGACACTACTGTCTCGATAACTCGCTTCCTTCCTTCCTTCCTTCCTTCCGTCGCGCCGCGTTCCTTCCTCACTACTACCTACCCCATCTCGCTCTATCTTTCCCACCCGCTTGACTCCTACCTAGTACTACCTACCATCGCCCCGGCCTTTCAGCCAGTCAAGTACGCGTAGACACCCCGAGCAAATCGAGTTATTTGCTGCTACCGATGGTCCATTTGGCCTGCTCCTCACTCGCTATACGTATATATGCCGATGCACGTGTCAACGAGAATTCGGTTACTTCATCCCGATGAACCATCGTCGCGCCGCGGCGCGCGGATGACGTAACTAATGTCGGATGAACTCTCTCTCCGTCTCTGGCAACCGACCAATGTAATGTTCGTCGCTCGCACTCACCCTCGTCTATTGGATCCGCGTTTTAGACTCGCCTTCGATCAGACGGATAATTTACAGTGGTCGACTGCACTTTGCGCCCTCGGTCATTAAGCGCCGCGTAGGCGGATTGTGCACTCGCTTCTGTTCCCTTCATCGCTGAACGAAAAAAAGTTTCTTCATTCGACGTGCGATCGTTTAATACTTCAACATATTCTCGCAAATTTCTTTCACCCTGCATATGCTGGCTAAATATTTTTAAACTCGCAGCAAGTTCTTGGAAAGAACCAATTTTTGCAGATATGAAATCAAACTCAACATTTAAGTTACATAGCTGTAATACATAATTTGTGAATATTATCGTACATATCTTAAGATCAGATGATAATGACTTTGCTACCAAGTTTCACTCTCGACGAAGCGTGGTTTGCGAGAAATTGGAAACTCTTTTCTAGACGTGACATTTTATATGTTGACGGTTTATATGTGCGAGCGCGATATCTGCATCATTAAACGCGCACGTGTCGAGATCGATCGTTTAAGAGTAATTATGCTAATACGGCCCGATTATGATGAAGGCACGAAATAAGCTTACAGGGTATCATCATTACCACGTTCAAATACGTGCGTATTATTAATAATGAAACAATAATGGATATTATTAAAGCAGCATGACGCAATAATAGCCGCCGAGCAGCGCAGTTGCGAATATATTTGTTGCACCGTATTAATCATCAGTTATACCACGCGCATTAATACTTATACACATTAAAAACTCTCTTACAATTCATTTCTTGCTGCAATTATTATGTCGCCTATTAATCATGAAAAGATATTTCTTAAATCTAATTTTTATTCATAATTGACAAGCTATTATTATTAATAACGACTTTTATACTTCTCATTTTTTACACAGAGAGAATTTTTTCTTAGAATTTATTCTGAAAATCATGGTAATCATAGAATGGTATTGGAAGAGTTTTATAAGAGTTTCTCTCTGATTAATATATTTGCACCACGATAAAAAATATTAATATTCATAATGAGATATAAAATATGTTCGATTAATTTTATTATAAACATATTGATATTTATTTATTGCGATGTAAATATTAATCGGAGAAACTCTTATAGAATTCTTCCAATGAAAAAATTATCCAAAATAGACTATACGCAGCGAGGCGATAATTTTCTCGCGAAATTTCTATTTCGGTCGTACTCTCTCTACTTAATTATTATGTCGATTCTTACGCTTGGCAAGGGACAACGACTCGAAACGGGAGAGACGACCGAGCGGGATTTAAATCTATTTTATTTGACCCCGAAGGATCAGTCTCCTTTTCATGGAGAAAAGCGGCTCTTTTTCGTAAAGGGACGCAGACGGAAGAGAAATTCTCTCATCGTCCCCCTTTTTCCGTCTTCCGGACGCGCTTCGGACGCTCTCCTCGAAAATTATGTAAAACTCGAAGAGCAGCAGGTATTGATTCCCATCGCCGAATGTTTTACGGCGCGTATTATTTTCGCGAGGAACAATCATTCGGTCCGGCGAAACCGTTCGTATTCCGTTTGCGCCAATTCGTTGCCAGCGAGAAATTCGGTTTCAATCGGGACGATCTCTCGTTACGCGCCGTATAACGGATCGCTTTGACGACGAGGAAAATTATTTTCCCAACGAATGCACCTACATTCAGCAGATGCGTAACGACGCGTAATAAAGATTCCTCGACGTTGAAATGGAATGTTTCTTCTCCTCCGGATTGAGGATTGTGCTTGCGCTATATTCTTATTTCTGTATTATCTCTTATCTTACTTTATTTCATTTACTTATTTCATCTTTTTGTTTTCTTTTTTCTTTTACACAAATTGCCTCCTTATATTTCAATAAAATTTACTGACTCGTGATAAATTATGATACTACAATTTTCCTTGAATATATTCTCTTATAGTTCTTTTATTTAATTTTGACAAATGATAATAAATATTGCGCTGAGATTTTTTTCTTATCGATTATTATATCTGTGTGTAGAGTAATTTTTATTATAAGCTGAGAGTCTTTCTTTCGAAATGTTCGTATCGATATCCAATGCGAATTGAGTGGCAATAAAAGTGTTTTTATTTAAACAGCATTTTCATGGAATTACATCGAATAATTTGTTAGCTCCGATAAGCGCAATAAAACATACCATATGTCACCTGCGTTCGTGAAGTATTAAGTTCCAGTTGTACCGCAGATTATTACGTTCGCTACGGGGCAAGCTTATATCTATAAAATATATACTTTTTGCTTTAATAATGAAAATATGAAACTGCATACGGGAAATTAAAATTATTATACTCGCGACAAAATAAATATACAAATAAAATTCTTTGAGATTTTTGGAATTACTAGAAGATATATTCTTGTGCATTATTATTATTATAATACTTGAATTTTTCTTTTTTTTTCATCTGTTTGTATTTGCAGATACACGCGAATAATTTTGAAGGCGGTTTCGGCCAAACAATCTTTGAACACCTTTGACACCTCGCGTAATCGCTTCGAGATACAACGCGTGCACGGGACATAAATTTGTCGTTAAAAACTACGGCCATTATTCGGTTTCCTCTCCCTGACAGTCGCTATACAAATTCGACTGCTTGTATTCTCGGAGTCCCATCCCTTAATCCTCCCCGTCGATGGCCGCCTCTTCCCTAAAATGCCCCCTCCTCCCTCCCTTCTAGTGGACCCCCCCTCCTCACTCTCTTTCGTTATCCCTACGTTTTAGGGTGGAATTATTATGCAGAGACCAAAGTGTCCCATAAAATCGCGCAAATTACACGCTCCGATGCGTGTCTGAGCTTCATCGTAGTGATTAACTGACAATAACGTTGAAAATCGGTAATTCAGCGACGCCGATTAATCGTGTATTTACAGCTTGCAGAGGATTCTTTGCGATCGTTTAGGGCTTTACGCGTGCATCAGCTGTCGTGGCTGCTTTATCGCGCGACGATGAGTTAATTTGTCGGAAGATTAACTTCTATTAAAAGCCAACAAGAGAAGCGAATATTTGCGCAAAAAATACGAAATTCGAATTTCTCGACAGATTGCGAGAGTTTAATTAATATTATATATATTCTTTTTCCTATATCAATTTTATTTATTTTCATTGTTATTTCTCAATATAATAATAAACGCTTAAAATATTAAAATAACGCTTATAATAAAATATTAAAATATATCCGATTATCTATTTGTTGAGTATTTATTTTTATTGTTATTTCTCAATATAATAATAAACACTTAAAATATTAAAAAATAACGCTTATAAAAAAATATTAAAATATATCCGATTATCTATTTGTTGAGTATCTTGAAGCGCGAAATTTTCCTCATCTCTGATCGGAAAAATATCTCGCCGGATGGATTATAGTACTTGCTTCTTACGTACCTTGCTCTTCCTTGTTAGGCCGTAAACGCGGAATTAGCAGTCGGTTCGCACATCCGAGCCCAGCGTCTACTGAAAATCTTCATCCACACGCGAAAGGAACACGTGGAGAACACTCCACCGTCGTCGGGGCTCTAATTCGTATTCACGGCACGACCGCTCGTCGCATGATCACGCCGTATGGATTCGAATCCGAGACGCATCGGAAGTTTGCGAATGTCGTTTTACCGCCTAACTCACGGAGGACACGAAACTTTGGTCGGTGTGCCCGGCTCGGCCGGATAATACGTTTCCGTCTTCGAACTTCGAAACAAGTGTCCGGAAAAAGGGCGACCGGAGAAGACCGGCGAGATCGCCGTCACACGTGATTTTTTTCTCCTGACAATCGATTCGCGATTATTATCTCGCAAATTGTTTTCGAATGGAAGTTTGAGAGGCGCGAAAGGGCGGTTGATTTTCCATTCATTATTGCGGCTGTGTACGTACACGAGGAATATGGGAGAGTCTTTATTTTGATTTTATTTTTATTTTTCAGTCATCTATATTTATAGTTCAGATAAATGATAGATTATTATAAACACTTTAACAGATATAGAGCAAGCATGATAAAATTAGACAGTCGACAAATAATCTAATTGTAAATTAGATTAAAAGAAACATTATCTCGATGTTTTGTTAAATATTTGATTCAATGTTTTTTTAAATTCCAAAAGAATTGAAACGTAAAATATTGAAGTAAGTATTTATTTTCGTAAAATTGATCTGTTCGATACTAAATATCTTTCTTTATATCTACGTATTAATTTACCTTGCGACAGAACTTCCGTTCCCTCGATAAGATAATACATAAATTCTTTCACGCAACATGTACTTATATCATACAATATGTGACGTATATGTATATGTATACACTAGAATACACGTTTTATTCTTCGACAGGCGCTTCCTTCCGTGCGGAACCTCGAGGGCGGAAAATGGAGCATCGAGGATACGCGGCGTCTCGACATCTCGGTA